GAAAGAATAAGGCGGCGAACCTCCTGCCTATCCCGGAGGAAGGAGAAAAGCCGGGTGAGGGAGAGGGTAAAGTGCAAAACCTCTGGCTATTGCCGGAGAAAGGAGAGGGGAAGGAGATGAAGACGGGGGATTAAAGTTACCTGGTTCATACTTAAGAATTCAGAAAACATAAATCTATTCTTGACGTAGTTAGGGGGTAATCCAGCCGAACATGAGCCAGCTCAGGCTCCTCTCACTATTCGGGTTCCGCTTGTTTGAGTAACGCGTCGAATATGAGCTATTTGTGAACAATTAGTTATTTTGACAATCTTAACCAACAACTATAGTATGCTCAGGAATGTTAAGAATTTGGGTGATTTAAATCTTATTATTTATATTAAAATATTATTTAAATATAATAATTTTAATTGAATATAAATCTGACTACATGCAGCTAATTAGTAGGTGATTTCTAATTTAACTTATTAAAGTGCTGCCTTTTAAAATTTGTCTCAATCTATACAAGACACGTTGCCCTGAAAGTTATCTCTGTGATTAGATGGTTCCCGGGTGCCGAGGATACCTGCAAAAAACGTAACTAAAAATAAATTCTCTATTAGACGAAGACTAAAAGTCAATTATTTGCATAATCTCTGCATAATTATTATCTTAACATCAAACTATTTATGTTATATCGTAAAACTATCCAATGTTCAAAAAGAACAAAGCCCTCACTTTATATCTTCTATTTCCATCAAGCTCTAATGGTGTCACTGTCATCTAAATATTAGCCAGGACATTTACTTTAGAGTTTTGTATATGTGCACACTCATCTACATCTATCATTTGTTATCTAATTTCAATTTTACGGCCGTTAATTTCCACAAAAAATGGAGGCGGTTGGAGGCGGAGACTAGCGTTTGAATGACATAAAAATATCCATTCTGATTCATAACTTATTTCCCAAACGCGGAAGCATCATCTGTACCTGGGATAATAAAGCGGTACAAGAGCTTCTTTCAATTAGAAACATCATCACATAATTTACTAGCGGAGACTAATAACACCGCATCAAATTGAGTGACTCCATAGCGGCACGTCGCCGCGCCACTCACCGTCGTCCCAACCGAACCCCGTCTGAAAGTACATGGTCGAGTCCATACACAACTCATCTGCGTAGCAATACTCGTCGAAATCCATCAAATCAATAAACCCGTCATGTGCCGCGACACTCTCGACCTCCATGCAGGGCTGGCCCGAAGGAGGCGCTTCCTCCTGCTGCTCTTGACCCGGCGCGGGGCGGAAGGCCTCTGCTGCTATAGCTGCTGCGCGTTGTATGGAACGGGGGCTGGCGGGGGCGGGGGGAATATGGAGGCGAGCGGAGTCGGCGAAATTGAGACAGGCTTGTCGGCCGCGGAGGGCGAGTGCGGCGACATCGTGGGCGCGTGCGGCCATGGCGGCGGGGGG